CTAACTGTAAATTTTCAGTACGTTTTTACTATGCATTAGGCTAGCTGATTAGCATCAGCATCGGTTAGCATCCGCTAATTATAATAATAATATCACGACAACTTTATTTGCTGGCTCGGAAGTGCCGTGCATGTGGTTTCTCTGGGGGAATCGAACACAGGACTCACTGCTGGTGCAGCAGGCTTGCTAACCGCTACACTATGGAACCGCAGAAGAAAAAAAAAATTAGGGATATGTTGTTCCTCTGGGAACTCTCTGCTCTTTGCTTGCAAGGCAGTCGAGCGAATCGCTACACTGCGGAACCACATAATTAAGGCTGTCAGTGGCTGAATTTACTTTAAAGAAATATTTTTTCAGTGTCTGTGTTTAGTTGTCGGACAACCACTGGCCAACAGCTGAGACTTGTCAATGTAAACTTGACAGATTGTCGAATATGGACGGTAAGGGAGCGACAGCAGATTCAATCAGCTCTGTGCCGTGTTTGGTATTTGAGGACCTAATGCTCTGTGGTAAACCTGTACTGACAGCCATTGAGAATTTGTTGTAAAGTGGATATGGGCATGGAGAGATGCCAGAGGGACATATTAGCTAGGTTTAGCTGTAAACAGCCTTTGACAGGCTGGGCACACACTCAGGGGAGGTGAGTAAGAGAGTGGTGTGTGTGCAGGCACAAGACAGTAATCATCTCTGACAGCCCCACTGTAGGAGAATGAATGTGAGTGGGTAATGTTTGCCTTGAAATGACCCCCAGACGCTTTCAGTATAGTACAGTGCGGCACTCTGATTTAGGCGGTGACGGCTTTACACGCATTGGATTTAATTGGATGGAATGGTTGAATATTATTATTTAAAATCGACAGGATTTCGGAAATGTCTGCCCGCTTAGCTTTTTAACCTTATTGCATGTTCCTTTCATTTCATTTCAACTTTAACAAAACATATAAACGTAGAAATATATGTAAACGTGTAGCAGTTAAGCAATACTGTACTACTAGTTAGAACACATTCATTTTAACGTAGTATATAGTAGTAAATATTTTATATTAATATACTGTGTGGTATACTGTAATGTGCTATAGGTGCTTAAACATAAATATGAAAGCGACAACCCTCTAAGGCAAATCTGGGCAAAATACAGCCCGCGGGCAAAATACGGCCCAGTGGGCTTTTAAAACTGGCCCGCCAAACTTTTGTACAAGGTACGGCGAAGATTGATAGCAATCCTTCTCTTGCATGCGTTTAAACAAATCGAGGGTATTTCTGTTGATGCCACTAGGTGGCGCCAGACATCAAATGTGCTAAATAATCTTTGAAAGTACATTTTTATTCTTGTACATTTTATTTAAATTATTTCACCTGGTAATCTACTTCCAACCAATCCGAACCTCATTTTGGCCCGGGAGCCAAAAAAAGTTAGCTTTATCAAAAAGCTATTCCATATTAATAATAAAAAGTAAAAAGTAAGCGGGTACAGTAATAGAAGAGACACAATATGCAGTAATCAATGTTTTGCTAACTTCAGAACTCTTTATTTGGCCATATTATGTCATAGTCCTTTTTAGTTTTGTTCAACTTAATAGTTGTTTTTTTTTGCTAACTTCATAGCTGTTGATTTTTTTAAAATCGTAGTTTTTTTGGGGTTTTTTGCTGAAAATTGTTGTTTTCTGCTACACTATGCTATTTTACACTGTACTGTGATTTTATCCCCACATACAAAAAATGCAAGTAACAGTTGAGCTAGGCGTTAAACTGACTGACATACTGTCTACAGTACCCTGAAGTCGCCTGTCGACTGCTGAGGTTGGCTAATTCTCCCCATGTGACCTTGAACGGGGCTAAGTAAGAAAATTCTGCCACTCACCTCCCAGGTGCATTCACATGAGTCTCGACATTAGCCAGTCACTGTTTCCCCTCTAAACTAATCACAGCTTTAGGTTAGGTTTTAAGTTTGGGTTTTACATAAGCTCCTCTTCAAACTGAGTTTCTCGAGGCAAGGTGTCGAAATGTTTTTCTGTGTGAGGTTTAAAGGGATTATGGTGTGGGGGATAAGGTCGGTGTCTACTTCGATAGGTAGTTGTCTAGGTGCACTGGACGGAGAGGTCGTACAGGTGGAGTCAAAGTGAGAATTTGTATCAGACTATCAGACTCCTAAGGACGGAAAAGTCAGTGTTCCTTTTTAAAGAATGGCACAACTTTCCTGGAATTAAAATATAATTAAAGAACTGATCTCGATGTGTTTTTCTTTCATTAAGAAACTCAGATCTCAAAAAAAAAAAAAAAAACAACAACCAGATTTTAATTTACATCTCCCTCGATAGGCCAACACTTCTAATTACAGCTACAACACAACTCACATCCAGCTGCAGAGAATTCAATTATCAAATTCTTCCCCATATCTCCTTTCCGGGAAAATGAACATTGATCGTAACCATCTCTAACAGTGTGTTGTGAATTCGTACCTTGGAGAAAGTGTTCATCTGCTCTTTGTTCCAGAGGATCTGCAGTATGCTGGCGCAGATGGGACAGCAAGCTCCTGCAGAGAGGTTAAAGTTCAGTGGACAGTCTGCTCTTTAGAAAGAACAGCTACGGTCACGTCGGACTGTTGACATGGAGAATAGTCATGACACAGGAAGGGTTGTCCGATATTACCGGTCACATGGCGACAAACGTGGAATTGATCTCGCCGAGTTAAAGGGCCCACTCACCTGGGGGAGTAACTGGTTGGCAGCCCGCCATGGACAGAGGTGGACAGTTAATTGAACCACACCCAGAGTCCAGATTCATGTCGGACACTGCTCCGACAGCGTGGCAGGCGCTCTCGTAGTCCACAGCTACTCTGTCAGAGAAGGCGTCGCAAACGGTGTTGTAGGTCTCACCGTTGTGGCCACAAACTGGCTGTTTTGTCTTGCAGGCTTCCTGGAAATAAAAACACACACATACACAAAAATATGCTGCATTTTCTCATAAATAAAGCTTGTGTAGAATTTACCAGTTGACCATTTAGAAAATTGAATTAATTTAGTTTTTAAAGGCAGGTTTCCTCACCTCTCTGACTGTCCCTCTGGTCTTATCTCAGCATATTTACTTCTCCCACCTCCAACTCAGCCTTTTGTCTAATATACAAAGCCACTGTCTCTGAACTCTACATCATAGCAGAACTCACTACTGTCTTATAAAACCTGACCTTTTTTAATTTTGTTGCTATTTTTCTGTCACAAATCACCCCTGACACTCGTCTTCTTTCATTCCACTCTGCCTGAGACATTTTCTTTGCCTCTTTTGTGCACTGTTCATAATTTTGGATGATTGACTCTTGGTATTTAAACCCATCCACTTTTACTACATCTCCTCATTTTCAGCTTTATCGTTCCTGAGTATAGCGTAGTTCTACTGCTAAATTTTTTTTTTTTTAAATCACTTTACTCAATTATATGTTAGTGCTCTGGTGCAGTTTCTATGATGGATGTCAACTGGGGATGGCTCGATCTTGTAGTCAGGATGGGTCTGACACTGGTCAAAAACAACTATACTTCATCCTATCCAATACCTTAGCGCAAATGCTCAACTTAAATTTACATGACATGCCACAAAGAGGGACGCGGTCGCCTCATCAACGGCAGCCTAGGGCATGCTGTTCGAAAAAAAGAAGCTATTGGATTGATAGCGCCAGAGACTCAGAGTGTCGAGTATCAGTATCGAGTACCACCGTGACCTACCTCACAGTGACCCGTGTAAGCCAGAGTCTTTCCAGCCTGCTGCAGTTGGCACAGACTGGCGTGGACCAGGCCATCAGTATCGCAGACTGGTTCGATGCTGTTCTTGTCGCAGGAGCCCGGTCGGCCAACACACTCGTGCTGCGGGCAGTCTGACACGTCGCTCAGACACACTCGATACTTTGGGATGCACCTGAAATTACAAGAGTTTTTTTCGTATTTGAAATTTAAATAGAGTACATATAATAGAATATGAAATAACGCTGGGGAAAAACGACGAGTTTCAAAAGGTATTTTTGCAGTATGTTACATAGGGTTAAGTTAAAATAGGGACAGTAGTGCATATGTTGCACATAATATATTAGTATTTGGTTACTGTAAAAAAATACAGTTTGCAGTATTTGAATATAATCAATATAGTATGATGATGGCTTTAACTAACAATATATATATACACATATATACATACATATGCATTTATACATACACATACATGCTTACAATATATATATAGTTTTCTGAATCTGAATTATTAACAGGGTACCTGTAAATTTATTAAGCCTGATTAATTGTAGAACACGTCAAGAGTTTCTTTGAAAACTACTGTGAAGCCGCCGTCCTTTACAATTACAACCAGTCTACAGTGCCTCACAGTCTATTTGAAAGTTGTCAGTCAACTGGTAAGCCGTAGACGCACCTACTGCCCTGCACTTGGTGAGGTGGATCGAATCTGACCTGACATCGAACCCTGCTGGACATGTGTCTTGGCGGAATTCGCAGTCCTTATACAATTTATGTTCAGAGCGAAAAAACGGTGTTTAATTTTAATTATGACATCTC